CCCTCGCTGCTCAGCCTGCTGCTACTCAGCACCCCCCCAAGCCACCAAACCCCACTCCCCTCCTGGAGCCAGGATAGAACCCAGGAGTCCTGGCTCCCAGCCCCCCCGCAGCTCCCTGTCCTGCCCTGCCCTGTCCTGGCCTGCCCTGCCACGCCATCTCGCTGCCAGGGGGTATTTACTATTTTATCTTTTCTAGGTCGACGCTGCCGTTGTAAATTTAACCAGCAACAAAGGTAAATACCCCACTGCCCACCGCTCGCAATGCACCCTAGGGCTGGGACCGGAGGGGGCTGCAGGTCAGGAATGAGGGGCTCCGGCAGAGCTGTGGGGGAGGGGAGCCCATTGCTGGGATAATGGGGGCTGCGGGTTGGGAGTGAAGGACATGGGCGGGTGGGGGCTGGGGGGCTGCTGAGAGTACAGGGACCCATGTAATGCTACTGTCCCCCCAGGACTGGTGAACCAGACGAGGAGGAAGGGACTCTCCGAAGCTCCATTCGCCGTAAGTACCAGGCATCCTGCAGCCTCGGATTAACACATGGGCCTACAGAGGAGGGGAGTGCAGGGGTTGGGAGCGCGGTGGGCACAGGGCTGGGAGTTGGGAGCGTGTGGGGCACAGGGCAGAGGGTGGGGGTGCAGGAGGGGAGTGCAGGGGTGGGGAGGCCGGGGGGCACAGGCCCGAGGTGAGGGGTGCGGGGGGATCAGGGCTTGGGTGGGGGTTGGGGGCACGGAGGGCACAGTGCAGCACAGAGTAAGGGGGGCAATACACCATATACACCATGCCTCTTACTTCTTCGCTGCTGGTGTTGTCTTTGGAGCCAGCAGCCGCTGCTCTCCGGCCACCTGGCCAGTGCTTAACTTTGTGCTGGGGCTGAGCCCGGCACCTCGTTCAATACAAATTAAGCGCTGGGAGGAGGCAGCAGGGCCCTGGGGAGTGGAGAGACCATGGGGGCCATGGGCAATGTGGGGGGCAACATGCTCACAGGGGACAGGGGCACCATTTTCCCTAAGGCCAGCCCTGCCTGGCTCCAGCTTCTGGCCTGGCCTGGCCTGGCCTGACCAGGGGGCGGGGCCTCGGGGGCGGGGGCCCATGGTGACAGGGAGGCAGTGTGGGGGGCCCAAAAGTTCTTTGTGCCAAGGGTCCTAATAAATCTTAATCCACTTCTGCCTCCCCTCCTGCTCTTGGTGACCCTGTGTGACACATGCTGGGGGAGGGCATGGCCAGGATGCTGGGGTCCTCTCCCCACCCCCGCAGGGCTGGTCTGTCAAGGATCTGACCCCAGTTCCCGCAGGCAGAACCCCGCCCTGGGCACCTGACTCCTTGACTCTTCTCTACAGGTTTGTCCACCCGGATGAGATAGGCGGGCCCAGAGGCTGGTGAGTGGGGAGGCAGGGGGAAGGGATGGGACATGGGGCCCTTTCCCCCAGGGGAACATGAGCAGTGCTCAGTTTGTGCCAGGGCTGAGCCCTTGGCATCTCCGGGCTGGGCCGTCAAGAGCCCTGGCACCTCCGGGCTTGCTGCATTAGTTAGAAGTGCTAAAAAATTGCTGGGGCCCCGGCACCTCTTTCACTACAAATGAAACACTGGGCGCTGGCTCTGGCCCCAGGGTGGGGGACTGGCTGGCTCAGGGAGGTGGGGAATGGGGAATGGGGGTTTCCGCTCCAGGGGCTGCCGGCTGCTATGAGTTCTGTGGATCTGCATTCCTACTGTGGCAGTCATCCACATTACATAGAGACCAAGACTCCTGGGTTCTAGCCCCAGCTCTGGGAGGAGAGTGGGGTCTGGAGGGTTAGAGCAGGGGGGACTGGGAGCCAGGACTCTGGGGTTCTATCCCTGGCTAGGGGAGTGGGGTCTAGGGGGCTGGAGCAGGGGGGCTGGGAGCCGGGACTCCTGGGTTCTCCCTTGGGTGGGGCAGTGTTGCTCATTGTCCATACATAATCCCTTCCCGTTTGCTCTTTGTGCAGGTCTCCCCAAGGCGCAGAACTCTCCCTGGATATGAAGAGTGACTCCCTCTTCCCCCGCCCCATGCTGCATAGCCGTAGCACTTAGCCTAGACCAGGCCCCCCAAGCTCTGATTGCAGCCCGCAGAATCTGAGCCAGCCAGCAGGGGGCAATAGGGACACACACACGCGGCAGGTCTCATTCCCTCCAACAGGGGGCGGCCGAGACACACACACAGCGCAGGGCTTGTCCCCTCCAGCAGGGGGCAGCAGGGACACACAGAGCAGGGCTTGTCCCCTCCAGCAGGGGAACACCCCCACATTCTAGGGGTGCTGCCCTCGTGGGCTCTGGGCAGTGGTGCCAAGAGCCCTGTGTGTGAGGGGTGCAGGGAGGGGTGACCGTGGGGGGCGGCAGTCGGGGTCCCTGTTGAAGCGTCCGTCATGGGACTGTGGTGGGAACAGCTGGCTCCAACCTCTGGGTCAGGGCTGATCCCCTCCAGCAGGGGGCAGCAGGAACCCCCCCAGCCTCTGCAAGTGTCCCTGTGTCCAGCTGGGGGCGCTGTCCGTAGTCGCTGGCCGGAGATGGCTTCCCAATAAACGCTACCTGCCCCCTCCATCTGCCTCCTGGCACTTACTGCCTGGGGTGGGAGCCACTGTGTGTCAGCACTGAACCCCCCCCCCACCCCCGCTGCCAAGCTTGCCCCCCCAGCTCTGCCAGTTCCCCTCACCTGCAGCCTGCTGCCCTCTCAGCCCTGGGCTCCCCCCCAGCTCTGCTGGTGCCCCTCACTCCTGACCCGACCCGCAGCCCCTCTCTCTCGTCCCTGGCTCCCGGTCGCCAGTGCATGGTCTGTGATTGCGGACAGGCCATTCCAAGGGCGCCGTGGGGCAGGGGCTGGGCCAGCTAGAGAAGCTGCCCCAAGAGTCGTGCGCTGGGAGCAGGTCCTGTCCCAATCACCGGCTCGGGTGTGGTGGGATCCCGGCCCGTGGCTGAGCGGGTGCTTTCTGCATGTGTGTGTAGGGGGCGGGCCTGATCCCTGGGAGGTGCATGAGCAGACACAAAGCAGGTTTGATCCCCTCCAGCAGGGGGCAGCAGGACGCGCGCACAGACCACGCGCACGCATGTTTGTCAGGTCACAGCTCTCACGTTGCTAGTCCTTGACCCAGCAGAGGGGTCCGTGTGCCCCAGGCCCTGGCGCTGCCCTGTGACCCCCCAGCCCGAACGCCCATCCCCCAATGCACGAGGACTGTCTCCCTCCTGCTGGCCAGTATCCCCTTGAGATTTTACCCTCAATCCCCCAGAGCTCTTGGCCCAGCCCTGCCCCGGCTGGACAGCCACAGGGCTCTCTGGATTAGGCTGAAATGAATGCAGATATACAAATGAGCCCAGGTAGTGATTTGCATAATTTTATATCTCCCCCCTCCTCCCTCCCCCCCCCCCCCGTAGCCTTCACCTAGTTTGGCCCTTCAACTCCTGTGGCTGGTGGATCTGGAAACCGCCAAAGGCCCTTTCCCACTTGGTGCCTCAGTTTCCCCTCCCCCACTGTGGCGGTTTAAACTGGGTGCTGTGGGGCAGGGACTGTCTCAGGGCAGGTCTCCACTAGCAAGGTTAAAGCGCGGTGTCGTTAACGTGGCTGTGTAGTCGTGGCACCAGTGTGGGGGAAAAAGCCCCCCCATGAGGGGAGCAGCTCCCCACACTGGGGCTCTTCCTATGCTGCTGCTTTCCAGCGCTGAGACTTGCAGCGCTCGGGGTGCGGGGTTCACACCCCTGAGCGAGGAAGCTGCAGCGCTATTAAAGTGGCAGCATAGACCAGGCCTCACTGTGGGTCTGTGCAGTGGGTCGGGGGGGAGGGGGGGTCTGCACACAAAAGAAGGCAACTTCTATGATGAACATGCTTTTCTGTGGGAGGGGGTGTCTGCATCTTTGACTGCTCCCAGCACTGTGAGAGGTGGGGCACCTAACCCAGGTTGGTGGGCACGTGGGGCGGCTCTGGGAGGGTGGGGCAGGGGAGTATGTGGGGTTGGTGGCTGCATCTCCACACTGGACTAGCGATCTTGCTGTGGAATTATGTGTGGCTGTTCCCCAGCCACCCTGCCCCAGAGGTGGCTGCATCTCAGTGCCAGGTGAGCTGTCCCGCTATGGTGTTATGTGCAGCTGTTCCCTGGCTGTCCTGCCCCAGAGGTGGCTGCATCTCAGTGCCAAGTGAGCTGTCCCGCTATGGTGTTATGTGCTGCTGTTCCCTGGCTGTCCTGCCCCAGAGGTGGCTGCATCTCAGTGCCAAGTGAGCTGTCCCTCTATGGTGTTATATGTGGCTGTTCCCTGGCTGTCCTGCCCCAGAGGTGGCTGCATCTCAGTGCCAAGTGAGCTGTCCCTCTATGGTGTTATGTGCGGCTGTTCCCTGGCTGTCCTGCCCCAGGGGTGGCTGCATCTCGGTGCCAAGTGAGCTGTCCCTCTATGGTGTTATGTGCGGCTGTTCCCTGGCTGTCCTGCCCCAGGGGTGGCTACATCTCAGTGCCAAGTGAGCTGTCCCTCTATGGTGTTATGTGTGGCTATGGTGTTATGTGTGGCTATGGTGTTATGTGTGGCTCATAACATAACATGAGATGGCTGCATCTCAGTGCCAAGTGAGCTGTCCCTCTATGGTGTTATGTGTGGCTGTTCCCTGGTTGTCCTGCCCCAGAGATGGCTGCATCTCAGTGCCAAGTGAGCTGTCCTTCTGTGGTGTTATGTGCGGCTGTTCCCTGGCTGCCCTACCCCAGGAGTGGCTGCATCTCAGTGCCAGGTGAGCTGTCCCTCTATGGTGTTATGTGTGGCTGTTCCCCGGCTGCCCCACCCTAGAGGTGGCTGCATCTCAGGGCCTGGAGAACCACCCTGTAGGTAACGCTGGGGAAGCCCTGTGGAGAGTCGAGGTAGCTGCAGGTGACAGGAGTGGGGGGAGCACGGCAGGGCCGGCTGGAGAGGTTGCCCCCTCCCCAGCCAGGCAGCTCCCCCCGCCCCCCACCCCGAGCCCAGCCGCGTCTGACTCCCATTGGCCGCCGCCCTCCTCCATGCGCAGCGGAAAAAAAAAAAAAAAAAAACCGCTTCCCGCCCGCTCCCTCCCTCGGCCGCTGCCGCATTCGCTCCTGCGACGGGAGAGAGCCGCGGCTGCAGCATGGCCACCCCCACCGAGGCACCTAGGCACGGTGAGCCCCTCCCCGGCCACCCGCACCAGGGGGCCTGAATCCCGCGGTGCCCAGATCCTCCCTCTGCCCGCGGTGCCCTACTCCCCTCTGCCCGCGGTGCCCGACTCCCCTCTGCCCGCGGTGCCCAATTCCCCTGCGCCCGCGGTGCCCGACTCCCCTCTGCCCGCGGTGCCCGACTCCCCTCTGCCCGCGGTGCCCGACTCCCCTCTGCCCGCGGTGCCCGACTCCCCTCTGCCCACGGTGCCTGACTCCCCTCTGCCCGCGGTGCCCGATTCCCCTGCGCCCGCGGTGCCCGACTCCCCTCTGCCCACGGTGCCCGACTCCCCTCTGCCCGCGGTGCCCGACTCCCCTGCGCCCGCGGTGCCCGACTCCCCTCTGCCCACGGTGCCTGACTCCCCTCTGCCCGCGGTGCCCGACTCCCCTCTGCCCGCGGTGCCCGATTCCCCTGCGCCCGCGGTGCCCGACTCCCCTGCGCCCGCGGTGCCCGACTCCCCTCTGCCCGCGGTGCCCGATTCCCCTGCGCCCGCGGTGCCCGACTCCCCTCTGCCCACGGTGCCTGACTCCCCTCTGCCCGCGGTGCCCGATTCCCCTGCGCCCGCAGTGCCCGACTCCGCTCTGCCCGTGGTGCCCAACTCCCCTCTGCCCACGGTGCCCGACTCCCCTGCGCCCGCAGTGCCCGACTCCCCTCTGCCCACGGTGCCCGACTCCCCCTGCTGCTATGGTACCCGATTCCCCTCTGCCCACAGTGTCCAATTCCCGTCTGCCCACAGTGCCTCATTCCCCTGTGCCCAGTGTGCCCTGTTCCCCTCTGCTCAAAGTGCCCAATTACCCCTGCACCCATGGTGCCGAACTCCCCCTGCTCCCATGGTGCCTGATTCCCCCTGCTCCCACGGTGCCCGAATCCGCTGCATCCACAAAGCCCGAATCCCCCCTTCATCCCTGGTGCTGAAGCCAGAACTGCAGGACGGCTGCGCCCATGCAGCCCGAGTCCCTGGCATTGCAACCCTCTGCCTGCCCCCTGCTCCCGCTGCACCACCCAACCCCTGGCATCCCACCCCCCTCTCCCTGAAGAGCCACCCCACTCCTCCACATCAGACTCACCCCCCAATGTCCAGAGTGCCGGGCTGCTGCCCAAGGTCCCCTCCCCCCCATCCTCACCATGCCAGCTCCCTGCCTGGGCACATGGCTCTGCCCCAAGGGGCTGATGGACAGAGGGAAGGTGTGTGCGGGGGGAGGAGGGATGGATTCAGGGCTGGATGTAGGGAAGGATAGAGGGATGGATTCAGGGCTGGTTGGAGGGATGGATTCAGGGCTGGATGGAGGGATGGATACAGGGCTGGTCGGAGGGAGGGATGGAGGGATGGATACAGGGTTGGATGGAGGGATAGATTCAGGGGTGGAGGGAGGAATGGATGGAGGGATGGATACAGGGCTGGATGGAGGGAGGGATAGAGGAATAGATACAGGGCTGGATGGAGGGAGGGGTGGAGGGATGGATACAGGGCTGGATGGAGGGAAGGATAGAGGGGTGGATACAGGGTTGGGTGGAGGGATGGATGGATACAGGGCTGGCTGGCTGGAGGCATGGATTCAGGGCTGGATGGAGAGAGGGATGGAGGGATGGATTCAGGGATGGAGGGAGGAATGGATGGAGGGATGGATACAAGGCTGTCTGGCTGGAGGGATGGATTCAGGGATGGATGGATGGAGGGATGGATTCAGGGATGGAGGGAGGGATGGATTCAGGGCTGGATGGATGGAGGGATGGATACAGGGCAGGACGGAGGGAGGGATGGAGGGATGGATACAAGGCTGGACGGAGGGAGGGATGGAGGGATGGATTCAGGGCTGGACGGAGGGAGGGATGGAGGGATGGATACAAGGCTGGACGGAGGGAGGGATGGAGGGATGGATTCAGGGCTGGACGGAGGGATGGATGGATACAGGGCTGGATGGATGGAGGCATGGATTCAGGGCTGGATGGAGAGAGGGATGGAGGGATGGATTCAGGGATGGAGGGATGGAGGGAGGGATGGATTCAGGGCTGGATGGATGGAGGGATGGATACAGGGCAGGACGGAGGGAGGGATGGAGGGATGGATACAAGGCTGGCTGGAGGGATGGATACAGGGCAGGACGGAGGGAGGGATGGAGGGATGGATACAAGGCTGGCTGGAGGGATGGATACAGGGCAGGACGGAGGGAGGGATGGAGGGATGGATACAAGGCTGGCTGGAGGGATGGATACAGGGCTGGACGGAGGGAGGGATGGAGGGATGGATACAAGGCTGGATGGAGGGGGGGTGGAGGGATGGATACAGGGCTGGATAGAGGGGTGGATACAGGGTTGGGTGGAGGGATGGATGGATACAGGGCTGGCTGGCTGGAGGCATGGATTCAGGACTGGATGGAGAGAGGGATGGAGGGATGGATTCAGGGATGGAGGGAGGAATGGATGGAGGGATGGATACAAGGCTGTCTGGCAGGAGGGATGGATTCAGGGCTGGATGGATGGAGGGATGGATTCAGGGATGGAGGGATGGAGGGAGGGATGGATTCAGGGCTGGATGGATGGAGGGATGGATACAGGGCAGGACGGAGGGAGGGATGGAGGGATGGATTCAGGGCTGGCTGGCTCCGGGACACTCACAGCTCCAGACATAGCTGGGAAGCAGCTGCCACACACAGGAAGTGAGAGGGGCTGCAGATCAGCTTCGGGGAGGCAGCGGCAGGGGGGTGGTGTCTGGGGGGAGCAGGGAGCTGTGGGGAGGGGGGAGTCAGGGGGGGCCTGGGGAGCAGGGAGCTCTGGGGCAGGGGGGGGCCTGGGGGAGGAGGGAGCTGTGGGGTGGGGGCCTGGGGGAGGAGGGAGCTGTGGGGCTACGACTCCCGGCTCCCCTTTACCAGAGGCTGCGGGAGTGACTGGGATGGGAACTGGGAGCCCTCGTGCAGTGTGTGTGTCTGGTACAGTATGTGTGTGTCCCCTGTGTATGCAGTGCAGTGTGTGTGTGGTGCGTGTGTGTGTCCCCTGTGTATGCAGTGCAGTGTGTGTGTGGTGCGTGTGTGTGTCCCCTGTGTATGCAGTGCAGTGTGTTTTGAGGCATAAGGGTATGTTGTGTTAGTGTGTGTGGTGCGAATGTGTGTGAGGCTAAGTGTGTGCGTGGGTGTGTTGTGTCAGTGTATATGGTGTAAGGTTGTGTGGGGAAGTGCACTCCGTCTGTCCCTTCCCCCTGCGGTGCCCATGGAGTTGCTGCAGATAGGGTGGGCTGTGTGTGTGTGCGTGGGTGTGGGCACAGTGCGTGTTCAGGGTGTAACTGGGTGTGGGGTGGGTTCCCATCGTACAGCACAGTACTCTTACGGCAGCCTTCCTCAGGCTGCAATGGTGTGTGATTGTCGGGCTGTGGAAGAATCTCTCGCTACCCCATGTCCTTTGCGGGTGTGGGGCTGTGTGTGCATGCGTGTGTCGGCACACGCTGTGGGATGTTTGTGGGGTTCGGTGGCGGGTTGCGAGGGCCTGACAATTTGTACGTGTGTGTGAATTTTGCAAGGGTATGGCAGTGTGTATGCTGGGTCACAATGAGTGTGGCCAAGTGAGGCTGTGATTGTGTGTATGTTTGGGGGTGTATCGGGTTGTGAGGGGGTGAGGGTGTAAGTGCTATAGTGTGTGTGTGTGAGGCTGCCGAGGGGCAGCAGTGTGCCTGACTCCAAGGGACTGGCTTTTAGGTGTTGTCTGGCGGTGCAGTGTGCCTGTCCGCCCCCGGCCCCTCGGCAGGTGCAGTGGGCTGTTGTGTTGGGGTTGTGTGCGCGCGGTGGGGTGTTGTGCAAGGGGGGGTACGCATGCTGAAGGGGTTTTGTGGCCTGTGTCGCACGGGGTGTTGTGTAGTGCAGTGTGTGGTATGCGTGTGCACTGTGGTGTGTAGCCACTCTCCCCCGTGGGTGTGGGATCGAGGGCTTCCCCCGGGGGAGGGAGCGAATGGGGGGGGGCAGTGGGGTGTGTACTGCGAGTGTGCGCTGGGTGTCTGGGGGGGCAGCGGGTGCCTACGGGGTTTGTGTGTCTCGGGGCCAGGCTCTGGCGTGGGGAGTTCGTGCTGGCTGGGCTGTGGCTCTGCGGCTGGCTGCGCTGCCAAGAATCCCCCCCCCACCCCCCCGGTCAGCACAGGGATTCGGGAGCTGTCTGCGTCCGGCTCTGCGTGTGTGCTCTATGCCGCGGGTGTGTTCCACTCTGTGCAGTGTGTGTGTCTTAGGGATGTAAATAGCGTTTAAAAAGGGAACCATTTCAATGAGTAAAATGATTGTTTAAACGGTTAACGGATTAAAAGGAGAGGGGCTGAGGTCAGGTTCAGCCGGCCGGTGTGGCAGGGGCTGGGGTCAGCTGGCTGGCTGGTGTGGGGCTGCTGGGGTCGGCCGGCCAGTTGGCCGGCGTGGGGCCGTTGGAGTTGGTGGGCTGGTCAGTCGCTGTGGGCTGCTGGGGTCGGCGGGCTGGTTGGTTGGCATGGGGCTGCGGGGGTCGGCGGGTCGGTTGTCCGGCGTGGGGCTGCGGGGGTCGGCAGGCCGGTTGGTTGGTGTGAGGCTGCTGGGGTCGGCCGGCCAGTTGTCTGGCATGGGGCTGTGGGGGTCGGCGGGCCGGTTGGTTGGCGTGGGGCTGCGGGGGTCGGCGGGTCAGTTGTCCAGCATGAGGCTGCGGGGATCGGCGGGCCGGTTGGTTGGTGTGAGGCTGCGGGGGTCGGCAGGCCGGTTGGTGGGCGTGGGGCTGCGGGGGTCGGTGGGCTGGTTGGTTGGCGTGGGGCTCCAGGGGTTGGTGGGCTGGTTGGTTGGTGTGAGGCTGCGGGGGTCGGTGGGCTGGTTGGCCGGCATGGGGCTGCTGGGGTCGGCGGGCCGGTTGTCTGGCATGGGGCTGCGGGGGTTGGTGGGCCAGTTGGTTGGCGTGGGGCTGCGGGGGTCGGCGGGCTGGTTGGTTGGCGTGGGGCTGCGGGGGTCGGCGGGCCGCTTGGTGGGCGTGGGGCTGCCGGGGTCGGTGGGCCGCTTGGTTGGCGTGGGGCTCCAGGGGTCCGTGGGCCGGTTGGTTGGCGTGGGGCTGCGGGGGTCGGTGGGCTGGTTGGTTGGCGTGGGGCTGCGGGGGTCGGTGGGCCGGTTGGTGGGCGTGGGGCTGCTGGGGTCGGCGGGCCGGTTGGTTGGCGTGGGGCTCCAGGGGTCCGTGGGCCGGTTGGTTGGCGTGGGGCTGCGGGGGTCGGTGGGCTGGTTGGTTGGCGTGGGGCTGCGGGGGTCGGTGGGCCGGTTGGTGGGCGTGGGGCTGCTGGGGTCGGCGGGCCGGTTGGTTGGCGTGGGGCTCCAGGGGTCCGTGGGCCGGTTGGTTGGCGTGGGGCTGCGGGGGTCGGTGGGCTGGTTGGTTGGCCAGCCCAGGGGTTAATGACGGTTAAGGCGGGTTAACCTGTTAACATTTTACACCCCTAGTGTGTGTGTCCATTCTGTGCAGTGTGTTGTCTGTGTGATCTGTGCAGTGTGTTGTCTGTGCACTGTGTTGTGTGCCGTGTGTGTTACTCCCAGCGTAGCCGTGCTCTGTGAGCTCTGTGTGCTTTGAATCTGGTGGGCAGTTCAAATTAACAGTGCAGCTCTAATGCAGCTATAGTGTTGATTACACACACACACACACACATTCAGACTGCCCCACAACAGCATCAACCCTGCACTCACACACACTGCACACCCTCACCGTGACCCCACCAGCCTCTCCAGCCTCTCCCACTCACCCCCTCCAGTTGGGCACTGATAAGCCAGCGCAGCACTCTGAGTGTTGTGTGTGTGTCTGTGCAAGCTGTGTGTGTGTGCGTGTAGCAGCTGAGCAGCACAGGGCTCTGTGGGCATCTACACTGTTGTCACTAGGCTTCAGGATTAACACCCTCTTGAGATGAACAGAAGAGTCCATCCCTCTCCCAGCAATGGGTGTAGGCTCTCGGCAGACTCAGGCAGCATTGCTGGATCAGTTGTACTGGGGGGCAGCTCCCCCCGTCTCCCAGCAACGGGCGAGAGCTCTGGCAGCATCTGGGCTGAGGGAGCTCGCCTGGCGGCTGACCTGCCACTGCGCGAGAGCATGGCTGGTTTGCTTGCAGAGCCCCCCAGCTGCTGAGCCTGCAGGGAGCAGGGTGGGGGCTCCGCGGGGGGCGCTGAGATGCAGGGGGCTCAGCAGGGGGCACTGTGCTGTGGGGGTAGGGAGTCAGCAGGGGGCGCTGTGATGCAGGGAGCAGGGCGGGGGCTCTGCGGGGGGTGCTGTGATGCAGGGAGCAGGGGGCTCAGGGGGGGCACTGTGCTGTGGGGGTAGGGAGTCAGCAGGAGGTGCTGTGATGCAGGGAGCAGGGCGGGGGCTCCATGGGGGGTGCTGTGATGCAGGGAGCAGGGGGCTCAGCGGGGGGCGCTGTGCTGTGGGGGTAGGGAGTCAGCAGGGGGCGCTGTGATGCAGGGAGCAGGGCGGGGGCTCCATGGGGGGTGCTGTGATGCAGGGAGCAGGGCAGGGGCTCTGCGGGGGGAGCTGTGATGCAGGGAGCAGGGGGCTCAGCGGGGGGCACTGTGCTGTGGGGGTAGGGAGTCAGCAGAGGGCGCTGTGATGCAGGGAGCAGGGCGGGGGCTCAGTGGGGGGCGCTGATGCAGGGAGCAGGGGGTTTAGTGGGGGCACTGTGCTGTGGGGGTAGGGAGTCAGCAGGGGGCGCTGTGATGCAGGGAGCAGGGCGGGGGCTCCATGGGGGGTGCTGTGATGCAGGGAGCAGGGGGCTCAGCGGGGGGCGCTGTGCTGTGGGGGTAGGGAGTCAGCAGGGGGCGCTGTGATGCAGGGAGCAGGGCGGGGGCTCAGCAGGGGGCGCTGTGATGCAGGGAGCAGGGGCGGGGGCTCAGCGGGGGGCGCTGTGATGCAGGGAGCAGGGCGGGGGCTCAGCAGGGGGCGCTGTGATGCAGGGAGCAGGGGGGGGGGCTCAGCGGGGGCGCTGTGATGCAGGGAGCAGGGGGCTCAGCGGGGGGCGCTGTGCTGTGGGGGTAGGGAGTCAGCAGAGGGCGCTGTGATGCAGGGAGCAGGGCGGGGGCTCAGTGGGGGGCGCTGTGATGCAGGGAGCAGGGCGGGGACTCCGCGGGGGGCGCTGTGATGCAGGGAGCAGGGGGCTCAGCGGGGGGCACTGTGCTGTGGGGGTAGGGAGTCAGCAGGGGGCGCTGTGATGCAGGGAGCAGGACGGGGGCTCAGCGGGGGGCGCTGTGATGCAGGGAGCAGGGGGTTTAGTGGGGGGCACTGTGCTGTGGGGGTAGGGAGTCAGCAGGGGGCGCTGTGATGCAGGGAGCAGGGCGGGGGCTCTGCGGGGGCGCTGTGATGCAGGGAGCAGGGCGGGGGCTCCGCGTGGGGCGCTGTGCTGTGGGGGTAGGAGTCAGCAGGGAGCAGGGCGGGGACTCCGCGGGGGGCGCTGTGATGCAGGGAGCAGGGGGCTCAGCGGGGGGCACTGTGCTGTGGGGGTAGGGAGTCAGCAGGGGGCGCTGTGATGCAGGGAGCAGGGCGGGGGCTCCATGGGGGGTGCTGTGATGCAGGGAGCAGGGCGGAGGCTCTGCGTGGGGCGCTGTGCTGTGGGGGTAGGGAGTCAGCAGGGAGCAGGGCGGGGGCTCACCGGGGGGGGGGCTGTGATGCAGGGATGCTCCCCCCTCACAGTCAGTGCTGACCTCATGGATCTAGGGTTGAGGTGGACATGGGGAGAGTCAACCAATGGCCAGACGATGGGGGTAGGGAAAGAGACCCAGAGGTGGGGTGGGGAGTGGGGCTCAGTAGAGGCGGCCCAGGGTTGGGGGGCAGGGCTCAGAGCCTCCCAGGGGTGGGTAGAGTCATGGCCAGTCTTTGTCTTACACCCATCCTGAGGTTGAGCCCTAATATTGGGGGGGTGGACGTGCTCTCTGCCCCCCCCCCCCGGTTGCTAGGACACAGCCCATGCCGGGGTGGGGGGACCAGGAGGGCAGAGTGGGTGCGTGTTGGGGGGCACTCCCTGCCGGTCTCCATCTGTCTGTCTATGCCCAGCCCTTGATTCCCTGGCCAGGTGCCAGAGCCGGGAACCTCCCCAGGTACCCCCACGCGGATCCCTCTGCCGGGACCCAGGGCTAGGAGAGCAGGGGGCTGCCGGTCACTGGCAGGGCCGTGCCAGGGCTGGTTTCCGCAGGTGGTGGCTGGGTGCCAGGTCCCCGGTTCCCTCCCTGCTGCCCCCCCACCCCGCCCTGGCAGCCAGCTGAGGATGCAGACTCCTGATGTGCTTGTTTCCATGGCAACCCCCCATGGCCTGCATTGGGGTTTGCATTATTCATCCTGCAGGGCCACCCCAACAGACAGCGCTGCAGGGAATGGGGCGGGGAGGGGGCTCAGTGGGGGGCGCTGTGCTGTGTGGAGCAGGGCAGGGGGCTTGCTGGGGGCGCTGGGCTGCAGGGAGCAGGGCGGGGGCTCAGTAGGGGGTGCTGTGCTGTGGGGACCAGGGCAGGCGGCTCGCTGGGGGCGCTGTGCTGCAAGGAGTGGGGCGGGGACTCAGTGGGGGGCACTGTGCTGTGGGGAGCAGGACAGGGGGCTCGCTGGGGGCGCTGGGCTGCAGGGAGCGGGGCGGAGGTTCAGTAGGGGGCGCTGTGCTGTGGAGAGCAGGGCAGGGGGCTCGCTGGGGGCGCTGGGCTGCAGGGAGCGGGGCGGAGGTTCAGTAGGGGGCACTGTGCTGTGGAGAGCAGGGCAGGGGGCTCGCTGGGGGCGCTGGGCTGCAGGGAGTGGGGCGGGGGCTCAGTGGGGGGCGCTGTGCTGTGGGGAGCAGGGCAGGGGGCTCGCTGGGGGCGCTGGGCTGCAGGGAGTGGGGCGGGGGCTCAGTGGGGGCGCTGTGCTGTGGGGAGCAGGGCAGGGGGCTCGCTGGGGGCGCTGGGCTGCAGGGAGTGGGGCGGGGGCTCAGTGGGGGCGCTGTGCTGTGGGGAGCAGGGCAGGGGGCTCGCTGGGGGTGCTGGGCTGCTGACCTGTCCTGGATTCTTGATGACTTCACTCAGTGCAAGATGTTTTCGCCAAGGCTGGGGGAGGTGGGTGCGAACCAGGGTGGGAGCTCTGGCCCGGGTTAATGGCTTTGCCAGGGGTTTCCTCTGCCCTGCAGCAATGATCCTGCTGCTGCGAATGACATGGGAGTCTCTGTCCCTCCCTATCTCAAACTCCCGTGCGGTGTTATGTGCAGCTGTTCCCCAGCTGCCCCACCCCAGAGGTGGCTGCATCTCAGGGCCGGGTGAGCCCTCTCCGGGGCTGGGGTAGCTCAGGGGTTCGTCTCTCTCTCTCTTCTCTCTCCAGATGGCCACGGACACCGGGATCCCTTCTCCTACGGTGAGTGGGGCCACCCGTGTGGCTGCCCCGTGGGCTGATGTTTCTGTGCTGCTGGGAGGGGGCCGGAGTTGTCCCCGTTTGCGGCTCCACATGTCTGGCCCCCAGTTTGGGGGGCACTTCCTAGCAGGGATCCTCCGTGGCGTCCCCTGGCCCAGCTCACATCTGGGGTATCTGCTGGAACATGGGGCCTCACTAGAGCTGGTGGGAGCTGGGGGGGCAGGGGGTAGCGGGCTGGGGCAGGGGGCTGTGGGGCTGGGGCGAGCGGCTGTGGGGTTGTCTGTCTCTGACCTCTCCTCTCCTCCCAGACTATGACACCCTGCGCGTGGTCGGCCTTGTCCTGGCCATTGTCATGTTCGTGGTGGGCATCCTGACAGCGCTGAGTGAGTGATCCTCCGTCTGGCCCCTCAACCCCCCCAAACTCCCCTGGATGGCCCCATAACACCCCATAACCCCTCAGCAGGTCCTAGAACCCTTCTGAACCCCTAGCTGGCCCCCCAACCCCCTCAGCAGGGCCCCCAACCCCCAAACTTCCCCGAACACCCCATAACCCCCCAACCCCCACAGCAGGCTCCTAAAGCCCCCCAAACTCCCCTGGCCAGCCCCATAATGTCCCTAACCCCTCCCAGCTGGCCCCATAACCCCCCGAACCACCCAGCAGGCCCCCCAAACTCCCCCAGCTGGCCCCTGAACTCCCTGAACCCCCCAGAAGCCCCCTGAGCCCCCCAAACAATCCAGCAGGCCCCAGAACCCACCTGAACTCCCCAGCAGGCCCCTCAAACCCCAAACTCTCCCACCCGGCCCCATAACCCCCCGAAACTCCAACAGCTGGCCCCTGAAACCACCAGCAGGCCCTGAACTCCCCAAACTCCCCCGGCTGGCCCCCAACCCCTCCCAAACCCCACAGCAGGCCCCCCAACCCCAAAAACTCCCCCAGCCGTCCCCATATCCCCCCAAACTCCCCTGGCTGGCTCCCAAACCGCCTCAAACCTCCCAGCAGACCCCCAACACCCAAGTCCCCTGTCTGGCCACTAAACTCCAGCCATCCGCCAACCCCGAATCCTGCCGGCCAGCCCTGCAAACCCCTGAACCCCAACCCCGCAACTGGCCCCACAACCCCCCTGAATTCCCCCAGCTGACCCCCTTCCTCCTGGCCAGCCCTCAACCCCGAACCCCATCCCCCAGCTGGCCCCCCAAGCCCCTGAGCTCCCGGCTGGCTCCTATCCCCCGCAAGCCAACCCTCCACCCCCGAACTCCCCCGGCCAGGCCCCCAACCCTCCCAAGAGCCCTGGCTTGCCCCTAAAACCCTCAGCCAAACCCAAATCCCACACCCCGCCGGCCGGCCAGCCCCCAGCCCTCTGCCCCCAAACTCCCCCGGCTGGACCCCTAGCCCCTCTAACCTCTGGCCGCCCCCTCAAACCATCCCTGAACACCAACCCCCCCCCGGCCAGCCCCTCAAACTCCCCATAACACTGAAACCCCCCAGCTGGCCACTTGAACCCCCAAAACATGGAAACCCCACCCCGGCCTGCCTGCCAACCCTGCCCCTGAGCTTCCCGGCCAGCCTCTAAACCCCCCAGCAAGCCCTCCACTCTGAATCCCAGTGTCCGGCTCCACAGCCCCCGCGACTCTTGAACCCCCCAGCCAGCCCCCCATCCCCCTGGCCAGTTTCCCACCCCCAAACTCCCCTGGCTGGTCCCCCAACCCCCAAACCCCTGGCCAGCCCCTAACCCCACCCCCAAACTTCACTGGCTGCCCCCTGAACCCCCTCGGCCAGCGCCCCAATCCCACATGAACCCTGAACCCCCTCAGCTGGCCCTAAACCCCCTGGCCAGTTCCCCGCCCTCTGAACCCCTCTGATCGGCCTCCCAAACCTCCCAGAACCCCTGCCCCCGGCCGGGCCCTTGCACCCCAAACTCCCTGGCTGGCTCCCCAAACTCCCAAAGCTGGCCCCTCAGCCAGCCGCCTGTACCCCAAACCTCCCTGGTCAGCCCCCCTGTGCCCCAGAGCCACCCCCCAGCCAGCCCCTTACCTGCCCCCCTGAACTTCACCCTATCCCACACAACTACTCCCTCCACCCCTTCCCCTTTGGTCTCCTGCCCCATCATCTGCCCCCAAATCCCTCCTGCCCCCAGCTGCCCCCCCTCACTCTCTCTCTCTCTTCCCTGCAGGTAAGAAATTCAAATGTAAAAAGTCCGACTCCAGGTAGGTGCTGCACCCCCCCCCCCGCTATAACTGCTCCCCTTGCTCCCCGGCCCCCTTGGCAGCCCCCCACTGCCTCCTGCTCTAACTACTCCCAGGGGCAGCTCCCCACATTGTAACTGCCCCCTTTGACCACGGGGCAGCTCCCCACATTGTAATTGCCCCCGGCCCCCTGGAGAAGACCCCCACTGCCCCCCAGGGGCAGCTCCCCCACTCTAACTGCCTCCCAACCCCGTGGGGCAGACCCCCACTTCCCCCCACTCTAGCTGCCCCCCACAGTCCCACCAGCCCTCCTTGACCTCCCCCCCCCCACAATTTACCTGTCTCCCCTTTTGTGTCCCCCCTCAGCCTGCCGGAGGCCAGGCAACCAGGAAAGACCCCAAGTAAGTGAAGGTCGGGGGTCTGTATGGGGGTGGGGGTGTCCCTGCTGCCCCCCGCTGGCTGGCATCAGACTGTCCTGTAGAGGAAGGGGTTGTCCCTCTGTTGGGGGGGCCGGGGGAGTCAGGTGAGGCTCCCCCTCCAGATGCTGCTTTGTCTCCATTGGAGAAGGATGTTGCCAGGGATGTGGGGGCACCATGGTAACGCCATGGCAACGCCCTCCTGCAGCTGCTGAAGCATCTTCCCAGCTGGGGCTGGAGGTGAGGAGGAAGCTCCTGGACACTGGGGTCCCCTCAGGCCCTGATCTCCCCTGTCCCTCTCTCACTCCTCCCCCTCCCCCCGTTTCTCTTGCAGCTCCAGCAGGCAGCGCGTAGGCCTGGTGACTGGAATGTAGCGCCCCCCTCTGGCTGGGGGGTGCAGACCCTGCAGCCCCCTCCTCGCCCAGGACAGCTCCAAGACCTCGGCTCCAGCGCCCGGCGACATCCGTGGGGGCAGGGAAGGGGGAACCCCGTTATCTGAGCCTCTGTCTTTTAGAACCTCTGCCTCCAATTGGTTGGCGAGCCCATTGCATGCTGGGAGCAGGCACCATATGCAGGGAGGGGGGGTCTCTTAGCCTCACTTGCCCCCCCCCATCTTGACCCATTGGGTCCCCTTCACTTCCTGTCCCCCCCAGCACATGTGACTCTCATGCCATTACTGCTTTGCTTACGGCACCCCCCTCCCCGCTGCATTGGGCGGGTGCTCCATGTGGGGGGACGGCCACACACCACCAAAACATCCCGCCAGGCCCAGACACAGGCCTCACCTGGGCCCGGGGCCCTGGGCCCTGGGCCAGCAGCTGGATGCTGACAGGGTGCTGCTTTCATGACGTGTTTTCAGCTGCCCCCCAACCCCCCCAAGCACGGGGCAGAGCAGACCCAGCGCTCAATAAACATGGGGTTGTTTCTTACTTTGTTATTCCGACTTTGTTATTCACCTCCATCGCCAATGCCCCTCACTCCCAACTTGCAGCCCCCTGCTAGCCCAGCCCTGGGCTCCCCCCACCCCCAGGTCTGCTGGTGCCCCTCACTCATGACTCCCACCCAGTGTAGTACTACAAGGCCAGTGCCGAGGTGAGGGGGAATCCCCAGCAGCCATCCGCGGTACAGGGTTTATGACACACGCAGCAGGACTGATCCCTTCCAGCAGAGGGCAGCAGGAAAACACACACATATAAGACGGTGCAGTTCTCTTTCTCATCTTTTCCACTGTGTGGGGTACTCTTATCCTGGGGCAGCCTGTCTTCCACATGATGCCCACTCCCTGTGCTAGGTGCTGTATTTTCATCCTCCACATCTCGGTTCCATGTGTTCAGGACCATGCAAAGAAAGAATTGAGAAAGAACAGTGCAGCCACCTCTAGGGCGGGGCAGACTGGGAACAGTCACACGTAACGTTGCACGGGGATGGCTTGCCTGGGGCTGAAGTGCAGCCACCCATGGGCGGCGGGTGAATCCTCCATTGGGGAGGCTAGCCCCCTGCCCCTTCCAGCCCCCCTCACCCACCAGAGCCAGAGGAATCCCAAGCCCCCCACCGCAGCACGAGGAGCCCCGTTCTGCCCCTGCCAGCTTCGGGGGAGAGGTGGAGTGAGGGCGGAAAGAGGAGCAGCATGGGCAGGGCTATGGGGGAAGAGCGGGATGTGGGAGTGGAGCTTCGGGCCGAGTGTGGGCTGGGCCGCGGCCTGGGTGCCCTTTCGCAGCAGCGCTCCAAATGCGGCAGGCTGGCGGCATGCCTCCAGAGGGAGGTGAGCCGCATCCTGTTGGGGGAAGCTTAGCCTCCCCTGGCCTATTATACCCACCACCCATGCAGCCACCTCTGGGGTGGGGCAGCGGAGGAACAGCCGCACATAACACCACATGGGGATGGCTTGCCCGGGCGCTGAGATGCAGCCACCTCTGGCTGGGGACCAGCTGCACATAACGCCGCATGGGGACGGCTCACCTGGAGCACACTGTGGAGAACAGTGGCATTGCTCTCCAAGGCCATTCTTCAGGAGTTGAGCCGTTAGGTCTCAAGAGGGATCCACGGCTAAACGCAGGTTTCTGGGATGTGTGTGTGGGGAGGGGGCGGGGGGGCGGCAGCTGGAGTCCCCAGCACTGACCGGGACTGTGAGGGGCGACCAAGCTGAGGACCTGCCTCAGGACCTGAGGACCTGAGGACTGTCAGGGGGACCAAGCTGAGGACCTGCCCAGGAATAATGGAGAGGAATCTGGGACACGGCCCTACACAGGGCGGGGCGAGGGGGAATGGGGTACAGGGCCTTTCCCCTCTGGCAGTGCCCGCTTCCCTCTGGCCCCACGTCTCTCGGCCATTTAGCGCCCTGGGGACAGGGTGGGTTTGAGCCCCAGAGGCCACTCAACTGGCCCCTCTCGGCAGAGCTCTGAAAAAGGAAGACAGAGGCCCTATCCCAGCATGCCCCAGCCTTCCCAGCATGCACCACGATCAGAGCAGAGCTCCCAGCGTGCACCAGGCCTGGAGCAGGACTCCCAGCATGCACCACGATCAGAGCAGAGCTCCCAGCGTGCACCAGGCCTGGAGCGGGACTCCCAGCATGCACCACGATCAGAGCAGAGCTCCCAGCGTGCACCAGGGCTGGAGCGGGACTCCCAGCATGCACCACGATCAGAGCAGAGCTCCCAGCATGCACCAGGCCTGGAGTGGGACTCCCAGCATGCACCACGATCAGAGCAGAGCTCCCAGCATGCACCAGGCCTGGAGCGGGACTCCCAGCATGCACCACGATCAGAGCAGAGCTCCCAGCGTGCACCAGGCCTGGAGCGGGACTCCCAGCATGCACTGGGGCTCACCACCAGCCTTGCCCTACCTCCTGTCCTGCTCCCATTCCTGAATCTCCCCCATCTACCCAGGGCACATGCCAGTGGGTAGGCTCCTGCTGGGCAGCCCTCTGCTGTGTGGGGCTGGGTAGAGTCCGGATCCCCATCTGCCCAGCTCCCTGGGGATAAGGAAATGACAGGGGGGCAGGAGGGGGGAACTGAGCACACTGAGATGCAGCCATCTCTGGGGCGGGGCAGCTGGGGAACATCTGCACATAACGCTGTATGGGGAAGGGTCGCCTGGTGCTGAGATGCAGCCATCTCTGGGGCAGGGCAGTTCTCTGCCTCTTCGTTTCCACTTCTCGGGGTTCCCTTTCATTTTGCGGCCACACCACTGGCAGACAAACAGTCCTCTGAGTGCACGCACACACACGGTCTCTCACACACACGCGCCTTGCAGGAAGTACCGGCGGGAGGAAATGACTTGTGAGGCCTCCTTGTTCTGCCGCCCGAGCGCTGCCCTCCCATTCCTGCTCACACACCATCCCAGCGCCTGCTGCCATGAGGGTGAGTCCCCACCCCCCATTCCGGACGCCTGGGTTCCCCGGCTCTTATCAGAGCCAGCTGTGCCCCCAATCCAGCATCACGGCCCCGACTTCCTGCCACGTGTAACCCTGGTGGGTCACGGCTGCAGGAGGGGGGGCTTTGAGTGGGGAGGGGCATGGAGAGCCAGGCAGGCTGGTGATGGGAACCAGGTGTCCTGGCCGCATGGGGGCGGGGGGGAAGAGGGGCCGGCAAGGGGCGGGGGAGGGGGGGGGCCCTGGGATGGGAACCAGGCCACCAGGCTGATTGCATATGGGGCTGCAGCTAATGGTTGTAGACCTACATCCCCCGACATGGCATCCGGTCCCTATCTCTCTATCTGTCTCTGTACACGCTCCACCCCAGCTGAATCATCTGCCCTGTGAGCCAGCTGTGTCCAGTCCCTGGGTGAGGCCCAGTCACCAGGCCCCTGGGAGCCAGTGTGAGTTCCAGGGCATTCACCTGCCCTGAGATCAGAGCAGCTCCCCGCAGCCTGGCCTGACCCGCCTCCCCACCCCCGGGCTGTTCACCATGCAGGGTGGAGGGTTCTCCTCTATACCCTGGGATTGCCTCAGAGTTCGATTTCTGTGTGTGTGGGGGGAGGGACGGCATTTCTAGCTCGCAGGTTTGGGGATCAAACATGAGTCTGCCCGAGTCAGCTGGGAGCTTGGGCCCATCGCTGGGAGAGGAGAGATCTGCCCCGGGTGTGGCCGGCGTGGCGATGCTGCCTGAGTCATCCGGGAGCCTGAGCCCGTCCCTGGGAGAGGAGAGATCTGTCCCGGGTGTGGCCAGCGTGGCGATGCTGCCTGAGTCAGCCAGGAGCCTGGGCCCATCGCTGGGAGAGGAGAGATCTGCCCAGGGCGCGGCGATGCTGCCTGAGTCAGCCAGGAGCCTGAGCCCGTCGCTGGGAGAGGAGAGATCTGCCCCGGGTGTGGCCAGCGTGGCGATGCTGCCTGAGTCAGCCGGGAGCCTGAGCCCGTCGCTGGGAGAGGAGAGATCTGCCCCGGGTGTGGCTGGCGTGGCGATGCTGCCTGAGTCTGCTGTGAGCCTGAGCCCGTCGCTGGGAGAGGAGAGATCTGCCCCGGGTGTGGCCAGCGCAGCGATGCTGCCTGAGTCAGCCGGGAGCCTGAGCCCGTCGCTGGGAGAGGAGAGATCTGCCCCGGGTGTGGCCGGCGCGGCGATGCTGCCTGAGTCAGCCAGGAGCCTGAGCCCGTCGCTGGGAGAGGAGAGATCTGCCCCGGGTGTGGCCAGCGCAGCGATGCTGCCTGAGTCAGCCGGGAGCCTGAGCCCGTCGCTGGGAGAGGAGAGATCTGCCCTGGGTGTGGCCGGTGTGGCAATGCTGCCTGAGTCTGCTGTGAGCCTGAGCCCGTCGCTGGGAGAGGAGAGATCTGCCCCGGGTGTGGCCGGCGCGGCGATGCTGCCTGAGTCTGCTGTGAGCCTGAGCCCGTCGCTGGGAGAGGAGAGATCTGCCCCGGGTGTGGCCGGCGCGGCGATGCTGCCTGAGTCTGCTGTGAGCCTGAGCCCGTCGCTGGGAGAGGAGAGATCTGCCCCGGGTGTGGCCGGCGCGGCGATGCTGCCTGAGTCAGCCAGGAGCCTGAGCCCATCGCTGGGAGAGGAGAGATCTGCCCCGGGTGTGGCCGGCGTGGCGATGCTGCCTGAGTCAGCCAGGAGCCTGAGCCCGTCGCTGGGAGAGGAGAGATCTGCCCCGGGTGTGGCCGGCGCGGCGATGCTGCCTGAGTCAGCCAGGAGCCTGAGCCCGTCGCTGGGAGAGGAGAGATCTGCCCCGGGTGTGGCCGGCGCGGTGATGCTGCCTGAGTCTGCTGGGAGCCTGAGCCCGTCGCTGGGAGAGGAGAGATCTGCCCCGGGTGTGGCCGGCGTGGCGATGCTGCCTGAGTCTGCTGTGAGCCTGAGCCCGTCGCTGGGAGAGGAGAGATCTGCCCCGGGTGTGGCCGGCGTGGCGATGCTGCCTGAGTCAGCTGTGAGCCTGAGCCCATTGCTGGGAGAAGAGAGATCTGCCCCGGTGTGGCCGGCGCGGCGATGCTGCCTGAGTCAGCCAGGAGCCTGGGCCCATCGCTGGGAGAGGAGAGATCTGCCCGGGTGTGGCCGGCGCGCATGCTGCCTGAGTCTGCTGTGAGCCTGAGCCTGTCGCTGGGAGAGGAGAGATCTGCCCCGGGTGTGGCCGCCGCGATCTGCCTGAGTCTGCTGGGAGCCTGAGCCCGTCGCTGGGAGAGGAGATCTGCCCGGGTGTGGCCGGCGTGGCGATGCTGCCTGAGTCAGCCGGGAGCCTGAGCCCGTCGCTGGGAGAGGAGAGATCTGCCCCGGGTGTGCCGCTGGCGATGCTGCCTAGTCAGCCGGAGCCTGAGCCCGTCGCTGGGAGAGGAGAGATCTGCCCCGGTGTGGCCGCGCCGTGCTCCTGAGTCTGCTGTGAGCCTGAGCCCATCGCTGGGAGAGGAGAGATCTGCCCCGGGTGTGGCCGGCGTGGCGATGCTGCCTGAGTCAGCTGGGAGCCTGAGCCCGTCGCTGGGAGAGGAGAGATCTGCCCCGGGTGTGGCCGG